AGAGGCTCCGATATGAACCTGCTGGCACAATGGCATGACGACTGAAACTCCCGGCAGGTTCAGAACTTTGCCGACAGCTGGCACGTTGTTTGGAGGGCGAGGCGTGGTCACTTTCCACATGAGGTGTCCATCACTTGTGTTGTAAGCACTGAGTGTGCCAGGGCTGTACTCGCTCACCAACACCATGGGCTCGACACTGTATGGATTGGACGGTGCCATGGGCACGGGGTGATTCTTGTTGACTGCATATACTAAACCGTTTGGACCCAAGGCGATGCCACCATCAGTCCAAGTCCCCTCGCGACCACCAGCCTTCCACACTAGGTGACCTGTGTCCAACAAGACATTGTACACCTTCCCTGTCATGTCCTGGAACATGAAGGCTCCACCCTCCACAAAAAGGGGAAGAAAGTTCCACACTGGTGTGTCGGGCTGAAAAGTCCACATCTCCTCGCCAGTGCTAGCATTCAAACCCTTCACTTTCTGGTTGGCCGGGCCGTAAGAAGAGGGCAAACGCCAGTCGCAGGCAGCAATTGCAACCCCGTCGTGCACCATGTTGAAGCCGTTGTCCTGGCCTATCGCCTCGGAAACGCGTGTCTTCCAAACTTCCTGGCCGGTTTGCATATCCAGGCAGAAGACGTGGCCCATGGTGCTACTGCCATACACCCTACCTTGGTACAATGCTGGTGCATTCATGACCTCTGCTGGGAGCGAAATATATTCCCATAGCAGGAGACCATTTGTGCCGAATTTCCTCATGCCATCTGCCGCCGATAGATAGATATTTCCATCTTCATCGATTGCTGTGCCGTACGTTAACGTTGCGAACCGACCTTCTGGATGATGCCAGCTCCAGGCCAGGCTTCTGTTCAGGTTGAAAGGTGCCACATTCTGGGATACTGCGTAGTCTGGGAAGTTACCGCGCCCTGACGCCCAGTGGTAGTTGGGCTGTGCTTGAGAACTGCTGCTCCCCCTCGCAACAATGTGGGCTTGCAACATATTGACCGCGAGCTGCTCTACCTCGTGGCAGGTGTCTCCCTCCACATGGCAAGCTTCTTCCGAAACTGTCCGGATGGTGCTGCAAGCGCATGTCCAAACAAAGGTCAGGGTCTGCATCCAAGCCATCAGAGTAACACGAACAGGCTACAGCAGGGTTTCTGCGGCCAGCTGCGAAAATTGCGCAAACATACCCGCACTGCATGTCTATTTACACCTTCTGATTGCCACTGCCTGTCTTGTGGCACAAGATGAAACCTTGATGTAGAGAAACTATGCAGGCAACTCGCTGATTGTTGCATGGCCTCAGTCTGTTGGTGCAGGAGCCGCCCACTGACCTCAGAACGTCTAAGAACGTCATGTTCACAACCATCTCTTTCTCTCCGAAAGCTCACTCGACACTCACTCGTGCATGTCACGATGCTTCACGATGTATTTCAGAATAATCCTTCATTTGGTTCACTCATGCACCGATGTATGCAATGCCCATCATGTGCCTCCATCCGTAACAGCGATACAATGAACTTAAATGTCACGGGACCCGTGCCTCGTGCATCCATAACCTGGCAAACACATGAGCCTCTACGGTTCTCGACATCCACGCCACTTCTACCCCGATCAGTTCCCCTTCAATGTCTTCAAGCTTTGGGCTCTTCTGAGCCGTTCCTCTTCTCTGCGCTGTGGATCTGTTTGCGTTGGGGCCACGGCCACTTTGCAGGCATGCAGGCACGGGGACTACCAGTATCAGAGAAAAGTCAAAGCTGCCTTTCGTTTCACACGTCGAGTCGTGAGCAACTGACCGCCCAAAGCATTTGCGAGCAGCAGCTCCTTCGTTCGTGCATATGCACGTGACATGTCGCAAGTACTTAGTGTTGAGTGCCTCGCTAACGGTTTCTTGACTTTCGTTGAGGTTGCCAGAGTAGACCTGTGTAATGGCAGGCCGGGCATGCCAACATCTTCCCGGCCTCCCTCATATTTAGCCATTGTGTCAGTTCTGGGGGAATCTGGCGGATGTCGGCCATTCCATGCTCGGGTTTGCTTGCCACCGCATGCTCGAGGTTTAAACTGTAGACGCTGTCCCCGATTTCTCTGTATAAACACATGCATCAGACTAACCCATGTTGTCCAAAGCGTGGGCAATGAAATCTTGAATCGAAGACCCTCCAAGGCTCACGCAAGCATAGACTCCAGAAGAGGCGGCGGGCGAGTGTCAGTTTACATAAGTGTGTTTCCACAATCCTTCTTCTGATCTTTGGGATGCCAGGTGGGTCGTGCGCTGATGTGTCGGGGTGGAAACATGTGCGCTGATGTTATGAACGACAAAGGCCTGGGCTGAAAGGAGTTCCAAGATATCAGCGAACACCTGGCTTGGCTTCTCGGGCGGCCTGTTACATGCGTGACTGGTTGAATCTACCCTTGACCAGAGGGACGTGGAGCTGCAGAACTGGGTCGGCTGTGGGGAGTATCTGCACTTACGTCACGAACAGGGGCCCCAAATTCGACTTGATGGCAAGCTCTCCTACATGTACCTACACTTGGATGCCGTGGTACCCAACAACCAGAATCCTGATCGCATTCTCGGGGTGACACCTGTGTTGCGGGATTAGAGAAGCACGTCCCGTATGTGTCGTTGTTTTCTCGCGAGCAGAGCACTTCGACAGCTGAAGCAGGAAACTGATGTCCGGCAACGCTGACGAGACCTTGTCTCGTCGTGCGGCCTCATCCTGTCCACAGTTGATCCGGCAGCACCGGCTTTTTGAAGCTCTGGCTTGTGCCCACGGCTCGCGGACCACGTGGTGGCGGTGGCATTGGCATGTTAGCCTCTTGCCCTCTTTGGGCCATAAGGCGGCCAGTGGCTTGTTGCCCACGATGGGGCTGTCGACGGAAGGATGTCTCAGGGTGAGCCAAACAGTCGCGGCTTCGTCACCGGCCAAAAGGACCCACACTTCAGAGCATACCATGCATACCGGAACTTGCCAGCTTCCGGGAACTCTGCATCAGCTTGATAACAGCGGAGCTCAATTTGTTCTGGCACAGGGCCAATATTTGCGGCAGCAACGGATGGCCGCCTACTGGGCCTTGCGCACTGCATTTCAAAGGATGTGCTGCATGGGCCATGGCGGCCATAAGCATCTTGGAGCCCAAAGTTGAAGTTCTGAACCGCCTCTTGTAGGATGTGCTGCAGAAGCTCCAGCGGACAGAAGGCGCACCCCCGCTCAGTGCACACTCCGGGTCCGCGTCGCTTCCCCACAGCTTGGGCCTAAACTGGCGTGTGGCCAGTGCAGCGCGACCCCATTCCCGGGGCACACTGGAAAACTGTCGCTGTGCATGGACGGTGAAACCAGGTTTTCTGCTCCTGGTCCTTCTGTTTGTGCCTGCCCGTGGTGGATCTGGAAGACGACCTGAAATGCCAAGACTCCCCAAGCCCAAGCTCGGCACAATGCCTGCAACTGCACTGACTAGCTGGTGTCCAGCCAGGCAGTCCCTGCAGAAAAGCTGTGTGGAGCAGTTAAGCGACCCGGGTGAAATTTCAGGTAAAAGCTTCGACTTCTGACACGCGCAACAACCCCCTGCACTGGATCTGAATCGGCAGTTGCCGCGTGCGCCGTGTGCGAACGTGCCCCCTCAACGGAGGGGGGCAAGAATAGAAAACACTTTATACTTCAGCTTTTTCACGACAAGCTCCGATCTTATACCAGATATTGGCGCTGGACAAGGGTCTGTGTCGGTCCCTCTGGGAAATGCAAGGAAACCGCACGAAGACAACACGTCTCTGATGCGTCAGTGTTGCGGGATGTCGATGCAGCCTTCTTCTTATGTCCCTTGCAATTGCATCCTGAAGGCACCACACCAGCGACCGGCCCAACTGCATCTCACTTGAGCTGTAAACGCTGCACCAGTATGGAACCGTTCCGCCGCTCCCTTCATTGACATGTCTTGAGTCAACTCGCATGTTTCAAGCGACCGAGAGGGGCATGGAAATATCGACAGGACGACCTTGCGACCTGGCTGGGGCCTAGTTGTCCCAGTGCCAGCTCGGTCACACGAAATCGAGCAAGCACATTGCCAGACTGGCTGCTTGCCAGCTTGCTGGAGCTTCCCAGGTCGTGAAAGAAATGTGGTTCATGCTGGCTTTGCTTGCGCAATGCCCATGGGCATGATCCCCGTTATTTGCACACAGCGTCAGGAGGTCAGAAGCTGGTATAGAGGGCAGCGAGGTGCGAAGCAACAGTGTTCTCCGAGTCAGACGAAGCTCAGTGGTTCCGAGGAGGCGGCCTACGCATCAGCAATCGAAGCCAAAAGTGATCTAGTCAAACTCAGGCTCCCGCGGCTGTTGTGCTATGTGAGTGCATCAGGAGATGGCAGGGCAAGGGGTGAGCCGTGAGGCTTGAGGACATCATTCTGGACTGGATCGATGCAGGCAAGGTCAAGGGCTCAAGGTCGTAGAGCCCTGCAGAGAGGAAGTTGCAGAACACGAAGGTGATGCGAATACCCTGGCCCCAGACGAAGGTGTGCTCAAAATTTCTACAGCCCACGCTGGACGAGCCTGTCACCAGTACGCCTGAGGCTCTTCCTTGAATTTGGTGCAATTCCGAGTTCCATGTTGCGGCTGGCCTCGCTGCTGAATTCGTGCTGGGGTCGGCTTCGAAAGCAACAACGCTCTGGCACTGTGTGCACTTGATCAGTCTTGGACATATCGTCCTTGCATGCAGGAGCTGCAGGAGTTGGGGCCGTTGGGGCCTCGGGCCCGCAGGTGTTTTGCCTCTGGGCTTCTAAGTCAGTCCTTTTGCTTTTGGGCATTTTAGGCTTCGGACCCGCAAGGCCTTACTCAAGTCTCCAAGCAAAGAAACTGTGCACCTCATCATTTGCATCGAAACTTCCACCCCTCAAAGCCACGATCTGCGTGCTGGAACCCGGACACATGTCTCGCAAATCAGCTCCAGCATAATTCTGTACCAAGCCTTCATCTTCCAAGCAGTGGCTGCTTTGGTCATGGAGGCGAGATGGGCCACAGGGATGGCACGACAAAGCACCTGCACCTGCAAGAATGGTTCAGCGGCCTTGGCGGCTTGTCCTGGCAGTTGGCAGACTGGACGAAGCTGCAGGCGGCAGCCTGCCGCAGACACTTGCTGCCTGCACCACCTGCATGCCTCGACTTCAAACGTCAGGGGACGGGCTGCGGCTCAGAAGATGCGGCTTACGCGTGCGGGATCAAAGACCGGCTTTGGAGTCGAGGCCTGGGTTTGCCAGCCTTGGTGGTGGCAAAAAGCAGACAGCGAGCGCCGTGCCGGATCCACTCAGGCCGGTCTTGGCCTCAGTCGGACCTGACTGGGTTTGCACCATGGAAGCCCAGAAGGGGCTGGGGCCGGAAGGCAGTTTGGGCAACGTGCCCACAAGTGCAGGCGCCTATCGTCAGGGCTGGGGCTCAGAATTCCGAATTTGACTTCGTTGTAAATGTCGCGACTGCTGCTTGAAGCATGTCCTCCTCATTAGGCTTGACCTCTTCGGCATCTCAACAAAGCCGCGCAACCTGCAGGCCCGGAACGGCGAGGCCTAGCTGATCCAGCTTTTAGTGTCTTTTAGATAGATGCTTGCCAGCTTGGCGATGAAGTTCAGCCAGAGCAGCCTGGGGTGTGGGCCTCGGCATGCCTGCGCCGAAGACGGTGCTATCAGGCTTAGGCTAAGGACGCCGCTCGCTGACATATCCGTCACTCGGAGCGCTTCTTTACCCCAGGACTTGACAAGCCAAGTACACTAAGGGAGCTCAAACACAATGGACCACGGCCAGATCGGCTCAATACTCCTACTTGCTTGACGCAGGTTGTTGCATACGTCTTCTTCAAGGGGCCTGCTTAGTCGTGAGAAGATGGCCATGGATATAAATCAGACATGCCAGCCGAGCGCCAGTGTGCGCCGTCATCCCCATCTGCAGCATCACCACGGGAGAACACACGGCACCCCACTTCCTATCCTAGATTCCCAATTATGCTACAGTCTCAACGCTTCTCAACCTGCAGCTAAACTCGCGAAGGCTGCTTCAGCGGGGCAGACATCAAGCCGCACCTCAGGATCCTCGCCATGTACACTTGGGCCGTGAGGCATCCCGACTCCCCACACATCTCAACCAAACACAAAAGGACCGTACGGGCCTAGTGGCATTCGCAATCATTGCCAGGTTGCAAATTGTCTCGATCGAGCAGCCTTCTCACATGGCTCGGCTCCGTCGCTTCTGCATGGATGGGCAAAAGCGATGCAGCCAATGCTGAGCGAAGGAAAGCGCTCTGCGCTTTCGAGTTCCACAGGGTGCACTGTACTGTCACGGCCTGTCGGCAGTGGAGTTTTGTCGTCACAGTATGGCATCCCTGGAAAGGCTCAACACGACCAACCTGCCGTGCCAGCTAGGGATCGGACCTGCGCCGGATGCATTCAGATTCCAACTTCTGCCTGCAACCAGTCTTCCTTCCCCGAGAGATAGTCGCGATGCCGACATGTAGCGGCAGCGTCGATGTGCCCCATGGTCGAGAGATGAAATGAAGCCAGCAGGGGCATCAACTGCGGTGAAGGCCAAGCCTCGCACACTGGAAACGATGTGTCAGCCCAGCCGTCAGCGAAGTGTCGGCCCTTTGAAACTATGAATCAAGGCGCTAGCAGCTAGCACATCAATTCATTATTTGCGGGCCTCAGGCATCAGGCCAGGAAGACAAGCCTCAAAGCCATGAATAGGTCAGCTCAGAGGATGCCTGCTCGCCGACTCGTCTGCAAGGAGCAGCACTTGCGAGGTACTTGGCTTTGGGATGCTTGGGGATTGCGCAGTCAAACAAAACAAATTGATCTCGGCTGCCATTGAATGCGTAGTTGCACTCGCAGCAGTGCACATGTAAACAGCTCGCTTCGGCCAGGGTCACCGATGATATCCTGGCGACATCTAAATTGGATCAGAAGGCTGCTAGAGTCAAGCTGAGTATGACGCTGGGTATCAGGCGTCTTAAGCAAGCCATCTGTCTGGATGCTTGATGTATCTGTGTGTGGATCCTGCATGCTGGCAAAGGCATTCGAATGGTATTTAATTGGCAGGGTGATACTTGATACGGCAAGGGAGACGGATGCGGATTTCACGGTGAGGTGCGACGACTCTGACTAGTGCCACGCGAGGTGTCATGCTTGAAGGCCGGATCACCAAGGCCGGACACCAGCATCGATGCAGCGGCTCGTGCGAGATGCATAGCGGCATAATGCAAGTCTGAAGAGCTCCTTTCCTCACGTCCAGCTATCAAAGGGCTCCCGCCACTCTTGACAGGAAGCCGCCCACACGGCTCCGACCTCTAAGTCTTCGTAAAGCGTGGCGATGGCAGGCGAAGTCTAGAAATACCACGCTTATGTACAAAGCTCAGGAAATCCAAGACCGGGCAATGCACGCCAGTGGCGAATCCAGGTCGAGTCGGCCAAGCGTGTGAAGGACTGTCTTAGACCCTTTTTTGCAAAGTGGTTGAAAGTCATCTAGACTAAACGTGAGACAACATGTCGGACTTGAAGGCAACGATCCAAAGTACTCTGACTCACTTGTCCCGCTGGCACTGCCTTCCTTTCGGAAACTGGTTGATGCGGAGATGAACGCAGTGCATGCACACTGCTCGTCGCCAGCATGACGGCAGCAATTCCCATCATGTGCCGCCGCAAACTGCTTCGCACCAGCATGCAGGGTGTGGAGATTGCTGAAACACGTGCAACCTTAACATGCATCCCGGTGAGGTCAGTGCCGTGTCACGTGTAAGGCCGAGTTCGCATCTGGCAGCTGGCGACCGTTCCAGACCCAAACCCCGTGGTGCTATGCCGAACGATGGCAGGAGAAATCGCTGCATGCGCCGCCCAGCATTCAAGGCTCTTTGGGGAGAGACTCCAAGCTTGCCCTCAGCATGCAAGGCTGAAGTTAGAAATTCGATGCCCAAGCAAAGGGTTCAGGAGCCGCTGCTTGCGCTACTCTGTGTCAAGCTCGGAGGATCTGTGATGCATGCTGAAGCAATGCGAAGTCACGGTACTCGTGCTCCGGATCAGCCGCCACTGCATAGTCCTAAGAGCCTATGCTGGACCTGAGAGGAAGTGTCTCTGCACATCTGGCCGGATTTGCTGCAGCTTTCTCGATTTCAAGTTCAAAGCAGCGCTTACGCACGTGAAAAGGCCAGGCGGCAAAGCGGGAACATGCGGGAAAGGCGAGACTGTGTTGTCCAGGTGTGAACGGAACAAGCTTTGAACTCTTTTGAACTTGGCCCAGTGTAAAGCCTGGAATGGCCTGGAAAGCCACTACAACTCGGACACACGTCTCGCATATCACCCCGACGTGTGCAGCTAAGCCTTCAAGTTCCAATCTGGCGCTTGTGTTGGCCGCCGCCTGCCACGCCCCGTGGCTCACGAAAGAATCTCGGAGGTTCGCGCGACAGAACACTTGAGCCACTCAGTTCTCTGCGAACCAACAAGATCAACAAGAGGCTAGCCGCAGGCCCGTAGCGTTGACAACATGCTGGCCGTGTGCCTCCAGCATTATTTAGGGTCGGGTTTGACATGCACTTGGAGCCCGCTGCATGGTAGGAATGGCATTTGCAGACATGATGAGAGCGGACGGCTCGTACAGAGGCCTCGAGGCTGACTGCCGATGCTGCTAGTGAAAAATCCGCTTCATGTGTGTGGGGCCACAACTACCCCAGAACCTCGGTTTCAAGCATAAGGATTCAGGGTAAAGTGAGGTGAAGACATTTTGCACCTGTCGTCATGTGAGTGGGACCTATTGAGGTGCAGTCGGCATGTGCTGGAAGAAAGGTTTGCGGCATTGGAGAGGTCGTCGCCTCCGCGACCACAAGCGATGCTTCTTCAGCTTCATGATCTCAATAGGATCTAACACTACACACTTGGTAGTCTCTCACGCCACGCTCTTGGGTCGAACTCGCTCCACCCGAACAGCGACAACTCTGTGATGAGACCGAAGCACCTCCCGTCGCCCCCCACGCAGTGTGCAACGCGGAGACCCGGTGAGGGCTAGGACTAGACGCTGACTAGATCACTACATTACAGGGAAGCCGGAGCGCAAGACAGCGCAGCTCGGGTTCCCTGTACGGCAGGCTTTTAAGCTTGTACTGTGTGAAGGGCCATGCAGGGCTCCAAATCGCAAGGTGCTCAGAAGCGGCTCATGCCTATGCCTGGAGCTTCTTAGAGTCAGAGGCTGTGCATGCCTTTGCTCTCCAAAGCACTCGCACCGACAAGCTGAAACAGGAGAGCCTGGAGATCCCACTCTGGGATGGCAGGCATCCAATGCAACAGAGAGGCCACACACGACGCAAAAGATCAGGACGATGCCGATTTTGTGCGGGGCTGCGCTAGATGCCAGCCAAGCGACGGCTGTGCTACTGCAGCTTTTCCGCTCAATGTGCTTGATGCTTGAATACTTCATGGAGTCCTTCAACACCAAGCTACCGGGGAACGAGTGTCGTCGTTTCGCTAGCCTTCAGTTTCATTGCTGTTTGCACTTATTGGTTGCCCTCCAAAAGCGTAGATTCGCGAGCGAAAAGACAGGAAGCTGATCAATCAAGATGCCATACGCGGACGTGCTCCATGTGAACAGAATTCAAGCGACTGACTTGCGAGAAGCTTCGCTGTTGCTGTATGCCGCGTCTAATGGGCATGTTCGCACCTGTGTTCTTGCCGTGCATACAATCGGCAACCATCCGTTGACAACGACAGAGCGCATATTCCACCAAGTGTCACATGCAGATTCGCTGAACCGGAGTCCTTGAAAAACAGCTTACCGAAGCCCTTCAACCCCGGGTCCTTACGAGTCTCGGCTCAAGACGTGGGCCTTTCGGTCCGGGGCGCCGCCTTAAAGAACTAAGGGCGGGTATCGCAGTGCCAGGGAGTACTTTCTCGCCGCCTTTAGGCATCAAGAACACGACGTCGGTCCGGAGGTATCTCCTGTGTTCCAGCACGTCGCCTTCAACCCGCTCATCCCCTCCCACTCGGCTGACGTCTTCGTCCTGGCGTCTTGGTTAATGTTGCGATCGAGGTGGCCGCTGCGGTCGTCTGGGACGTCGTGTTGCTGCCTCCGCAAGTTAATGGTTCAGTACAGAGCGGCTCCTCGCAAGAATGGAAGCCTGACTGCTCTTGCACCCTGGGCTCCAGCCTTCCTGTGGACTTGGCATGGTTTCATTTCCTCAGCCCCAATGCGCCACTCCCTGTAGCTCGCCGAAGAAGAACCCGGCTCTCACCATGCACATGTTCCGCCCACGACGAACTCCATGTGGGGGAGCCCGGGGCGAGTGAAGACAGCACGGCAGAAGCTGAGGGGATCTGGATGGCACAGCTGTGTTTGGGCCACCCGAGGGGCTGACATCAGGGGTTGGGGTGATCGATTCGCACATACTTGCACTCTCTTGCAGTAACAGGCGTCACCAGCGGGGCCACGACGCAACTCCAAGAAATAAGCCTGACA